GCCGCGCGCGCGCCGGCCGCCCGCTCCCGCGCGCCCGAAACCGAAACGTCGGCCGCGCGTCACCCCGCACCCCCCCCAGGTGCTCTTCCTCACGGACATCTGGCGCGGCATCGCGATCACGGGCGAGGTCGTCTCGAAGCCGAAGGTGACGATCAACTACCCCTTCGAGAAGGGCCCGCTGAGCCCGCGGTTCCGCGGCGAGCACGCGCTCCGGCGGTACCCGTCGGGCGAGGAGCGGTGCATCGCCTGCAAGCTCTGCGAGGCCGTGTGCCCGGCCCAGGCCATCACCATCGAGGCCGAGGCGCGCGCGGACGGGTCGCGGAAGACGACGCGCTACGACATCGACATGACGAAGTGCATCTACTGCGGCTACTGCCAGGAGGCCTGCCCCGTCGACGCCATCGTCGAGGGCCCCAACTACGAGTTCACGGCCGAGACCCACGAGGAGCTCATCTACGACAAGGAGAAGCTCCTCAACAACGGCGACAAGTGGGAGTTCGCCATCGCGAAGAACCTCGCCGCGGAGCACCACTACAGGTGAGCGCGCGCCCCCCCGCCGCGCCGTCGGCGGCGTAACATAGCTCCCCCTTACGCGCTGTCCCGCCGCGCGGCGGCCGCCGACGCTGCTACCACGTCGACGGCGTGCGCGACGGTCGCCTTGACCTCCGCGGCGAGCGCGTCGCCGATCTCGCAGGCGGCGGCGACGGCGGCGTCCGTGAGCGCGCCGAGCTCGCCCTGGGGCAGCGCCTCGCCGTCGAGGTGCGCCGAGAGGACCGTGCCGAACTGGGGCAGCACGGCGACGTCGAGCGACGACGCGCCCCGCTGCTCGTCGCGCGTCGGGTCCCAGACGAGCCGCTTCTGGTGCACGGCGACCGTCGCGCCCGCGGCGACGTCGCGGAGGAAGACGCCCGCGTCGACGAGGGCCAGGCTCGCGGCGTTGACGGCGCACGACGCCGCGCCGCCGTCGTCGCAGAGCACGTGGACGTGGACGTCGACGCGCGACCGCGGGTAGCGCTCGAGGACGACGGCGCCCGCGAGGGCCCGGGCGACGTGCGCGGCGAGCTCGCGCGACGCGCGGTCGCGGGAGCCGCCGCTCCGCTCGCCGACGGCCGCGAACGGCGCGACGGCCGCGGTCACCTCGAGCGTGCCGCGGTCGTGCACCTCGTCGGACCGCCGCGGCGCCTCGCGCGGCCCGGCGACGTGCGCGACGACGCGCGTCAGGCCCATGGTCAGCTCGCAGGACCCGTCGACGTACCGGCTCCGCGCGACGCCGCAGGCGACGCCGAGGCGCCGGTGCTCGCTCACCTTGCGCCCGTCGCCCCGCAGGCCCAGCAGGCCGAGCCACGTCGCGTCGAGCTCCTTCGCCGCCATCGCGCGCAGCCGGTGCGAAAGCGTGGAAAGCGCTCGTGGAAAGCGCTCGCGCGGCCTCTGGCTCAGCGGAGAGCCATCGCCTTGCTTTTGTGGCAGCTCTCCTCGCCGTCCAGCCTCGTCGTCAGCCGCATGCGCGCGCTGCTGAGCCTGCTATTCACGTTCACGAGCGCTCTCCAGCAGCCGCGCACCATGTCCGCGACGACCAAGCGCCTCAAGTCCACGCCGGTGGACGTGGAGCTGGTCCCCGTGGGCGCGTCGGAGGTCGCCCACCTCCACTCGCTCGAGGCCGCGAGCTACCCGGCGGACGAGGCGGCGTCGCTGGAGTCGTTCGTGCTGCGCCAGCGCGAGGCCGGCGCCTACTTCCGCAAGTGCATGGTCGGCGGCGAGCTCGCGGGCTTCATCTGCGGCACGCGGTGCGAGGCGTTCACGGAGGCGTCGATGGCGACGCACGCGGCGGCGGGCCCCGTGCTCGCGATCCACAGCGTCGTGACGGCGCCGGCGTTCCGGCGGCGCGGCGTCGCGCTCGAGGGCCTCAGGCAGTACGCCGAAGCCGTCGCCGGCGACGGCGTCGCGTCCGTGAAGCTCATCGCGAAGGCGCCGCTCCTGGGACTCTACGCGCGCGCGGGCTTCGCCGTCGACGGGTTGAGCGCCATCGTCCACGGCAAGGACCCCTGGTTCGAGTGCACGCGCGACGCCACGACCGTCGCCTGCAAGGTCTGCGATTCCTTCGCGACGGAGGACTTCTCGGGCAACCCCGCGGCCGTCGTCTTCCGCCACGGCGACGGCGCGTGGATGGCCAAGGTCGCGGCGGAGTTCAACCTGTCGGAGACGGCCTTCCTCCAGCGCAGGGCCCGGAGACGCTACGGCCTGCGCTGGTTCACGCCGTCCGGCGCCGAGGTCGACCTCTGCGGCCACGGCACGCTCGCCGCGGCGCACGCGCTCTTCGAGGACGACGCGGCTTTGGACGAGGTCGCCTTCGACTCGCGGTCCGGCGTGCTCAACGCGCGGAAACTCGACGGCGGCTACATCGAGCTCGACTTCCCCAAGGACGCGCCGGCGGACGTACCGCGCGACGCGGACCTCGTTTCGCGGCTACAGGCCGCGCTCGGCGTGCCCGCGATCGCGTCGCTCCACAAGTCGCCGCTGTCGCGGGACCTGCTCGTCGTCGTGAGCCTCGACGACTTCAGAAACGCGGCGCCGGACGGCGCGAGGCTCGCGCGAATCGAGGACGTCCGCGGCGTCGTGCTCTGCTGCGCGGGGGACGCGCGCGGCGGAACAGAGGCCGACTTCTCGAGCCGCTTCTTCGGCCCGGCCATCGGCATCGACGAGGACCCCGTCACGGGCTCCGCGCACTGCGCGCTCGCGCCCCACTTCCGAGACGGCGACGGCGCCGTCGTCGGCTACCAGGCGTCGCCCCGCGGCGGCGTCGTCAGATGCGTCGTCGCCGGCGACCGCGTCAAGCTCGCGGGCCAGGCGCGCACGGTCATCGCCGGCGCCGTGAACCGCTAACAAAGTGCAACCTCATAACGGTGCATCACACGTTGGCGTCTGATCAACGGGCACGCGGGCTGCTCGATGGCCGTCCAGCCGCTCCCGTGAGAAAGTCTCGGGGCAGCCCAGCCTCCCGCGCCGCGACATCGACGCGTGCGCCATGCGGCCGGCGGGCGCCCTCGACGAGGGCCGCCTCGCCTTCGAGTTCAAGCAGCTGCGGATGATCCCGGCCCAGCTCGGCGGCGTGGGCCTCGACGTCGAGCCCTGCTGCCAGTTCGTGCTCGAGATCAAGCCCGCGCCGGACCTGGACCTGGAAGCCCCCGTGACCTTCGACGTGCATTTGGACGTGGCGGGCTTCCCGGGGCAGCCCCCGCGGTGCCACTGCAACGCGCCGCTCGACCACCTGCCGCCGCGCGTGCAGCGGAGCCAGGTCGTCGACCCCATGGGCAGCGTGCGGCTGCCGCTCCTCGACGCGCGGAGCGGCTGGAGCCGGTCCTACTCGAGCGCCGTCGTCTTCTACGCGCTCCGGCGCCTCTTCCACCGCGGCGACCCGCGGCTCGGCTGCCGGGGGCCGCCGCCGCCGCGCGACGCGCGGCGGCTCCGGGGCGACCGCCGCCCGGAGCCCGCGGCGGGCCGCGACGACGCGCCGGGCCTGAGCGCCGGGCCCCTGGACGTCGTCGCGGGCCACGGCTGCGACCAGGGCAAGCGCGCGGCGATGGAGGACGTCGCGCACGTGCGGACGCGGATCCGCGTGCCGGAGCGCGACACGGCGAACGCGGCCCTGCTCATCGTCTTCGACGGCCACGGCGGCAAGCGCTGCGCCGAGTGGGCGAGCGAGCTGCTGCCGGAGCGCGTGCTCTGGAATCTCAAGGACCCGGCGCGGTCGTGGCGCGACGCGTTGTGGGACGCGTTCCTCGACGCGGACGCGGAGCTGCGCAAGCGCGCGGACCGGGAGCGCGACGCCTCGGGGTCGACCGTGCTCGCGTGCCTCTTCGACGGCACGGACCGGCTCTACGTCGCGTCGCTCGGCGACTGCCGGTGCGTGCTCGCGACGCGCGACGGCTACTGCAACCTGACGACGGACTGCCGCGCGGACCGGCCCGACGAGGTCGCGCGCGTCGTCGCCGCCCGCGGCTTCGTCGCGAACCGCCGCGTCAACGGCCAGATCGCCGTGAGTCGCGCGCTCGGCGACTTTGCGTTCAAGTCGCCGCCGGACGCGCCCCCGGCCGTGTCCTGCGAGCCGGACATCACGGAGGTGCAGCTCCGCGACGGCGACGACTTCCTGCTGATCGGGTGCGACGGCCTCTACGACGTGCTGACGAGCGAGGAGGCCGTCGACTTCGCGCGCGACCAGCTCCGCGCGGGCCGGCCCCTCGACGCGGCCGCGCTGAACCTCGTGCACCACGCCATCGACGACCGCGACTCGCGGGACAACGTCTCCGTCATCCTCGCCAAGCTCAGCCCCGCCGCGGACCTCCGGGGCGGCGCCGCGGCGGCGCCGCGCGCCTTCGACGCGAACGACGCCGACGCGCTCCTCGCGGACCTCGACCTCGCGGCGTCGAGCCTCGGCGACGACGTCGACGACCGCGTCTTCGCGCGCTACGCGCCGCAGGCCCAGAGCCGGCGCCACCGCGCGGTCAACGAGGCGGACGCGGCCGCCGGCGGGCCGTCCGCGCTCCACGGGTCCAGCCGCGTCAACGCGTCGCCCTACGCGCCGCCGGCGCCCCAGGGCGAGGGCCGGGCCAACTCCAAGTCCAAGATCATGGACGACGACGACCTCATGGACTTCCTCCTCGACGACGCGAACTTCGACTGAGGACCGGGGCCGCCGGCCGCGCGCGCGACGCGCGCGGGGCTCGCCTAACGCGACGAGGACCGCGGCGTGTGCGTTGCGTATGGTGTCGCGGGCGCGTGGGGGTTCTTGAGGGGAGAAAGGCGGGGTCTGGCGGGCCGGCGTCTGGCGTTCGACGTGCGGGCCGGGGCGTCGGCGAGCCGGACAGGAGAGAGAGAGAGAGAGCCATCAACACAAAAAATGTTAAGCTTCTGCGCTGTTACCGGTCGTTCAAAACTGCTGTGTATGTCTCGCGCGTTGGCGCCACGACGTGGATCTGTTTTAGAAATTCCCCCAGCGTGAACGTTAATCGAGCTAATTTCAATATCAAAGCTCCCCACGGCCACCCAATCGCCGATTTATTACCACTAATCATGCAAACCATATCATGGGCTTCCACCTGAAGCAGTTTATCAGTCGGCCTGCCGCTCTCGCAACAAAACTCCGCCGAGAGCGACAACGTTCATTGCCGCGCCCCGACCGCGCGACAAACCGACCCGCTCGTCCAACCAGCGGGCGACGCATCCGGCTCTCGCCCGCGCGCCGCCGCGAGCCCGCCGCGGCCCCACCGTGCGCCGCGACACGGCAGCAGCGAAACAATTCTCGACGATGGTGCGTTGCCGTCGCCCCCCCGGCTGCCGAAATCCCCCGACGCCACACCCTCCGGCGCCGCATCCCGCGCGCACCCGCGGCCCGCCCGCGGGCCCACGCGCCCGGCGCCGGCCTCCCCAGAGGCGCGGCTCCGCGCGCGCGCCGCGCCGCCGCGGCCTCTCCCGCCCGCGCGCCTTCCCCGATCCCCGCCCTCGCGGCCCCGCCGCGACCCTCGCCCCCGCGCCGTAGGACGCCTTTGACATCGCCAAGACGCTCCTCTCCATGCGGGCGCCCGAGCCCGACGCGGCCGGCGACGCCGGCGACGGTTCCGGAACCGTCGAAGGCCTCTCGCTCTTCCGCCGGGTCACCGGGGGCGAGCGGCAGCTGAGCCCGCGGTGCATCGCGGACGCCGACGACCTCGCGTCGGTGGTGACGCAGGGGTCGACGGACCCCAAGCCCCGGGGCGCGCGGCGGAAGCGCGCGTCGCCCGGCCGGGCGCCGGCCGCGGCGCCGGGCGTGTCGTGGGGCCCCGAGGTCGGCGGCGCCGCGGCGGCCTGGGCGCGCCGCGAGGCCGCGGGCCCCCAGTCCGGCTTCGCGTCGGCCGTCGCCGCCGCCGCGGTCGCGCGGTCGCAGCAGCGGCGGACGGCCGGCGCGCCGGCCGCGGCGCCGCGGGGCCGGGGCGCGCCGCACGCCGTCGCCTTCGAGAACTGGCCGGCGCCGCGCCAGGCCTACGGCGCCGTGCGCGCCCTGCCGCCGCCCGTCGCCGGCGGCGTGTCCCTCGCGCTGAGCCGCGACTCCTTCGCGGGCCTCGTCGTCGACACGGCGCGCGAGGAGACGGCGTCGTCGACGGCGTCGGGCCTGCGCCTGTCCTACGTCGACGGGGCGACGCTCCGGGGCTGCGCGCGCCGCGCGGCGGACCCCGCGCCGGCGCCGCGCGCCGCGCCCGTGTCGGCGGCGTCGACGCCCGCGGGCTCCGTCGCGCACACGCCGTCGTCGTCCGCGCCCGGGTCGCCGGCCGCGTCCGCCGGCCGCGCGCTCTTCCTCGACCTCCGGAGCCACGCGACGGACCTCGGGGCGTTGCGGGACGTCGGCGCGCGCGCGGCGCGGGTCGTCGCGGCGACGGGCTGCGTCGTCGTCCTCGCGTCGTCGACGAAGCCCGCGCACGCGACGGTGCTCTACGAATCGCTCGGCGACCGGCTCCGCGTCGCCGCGCGCGTCGCCGTGCCCCTGGGCGGCCTCGCGTCGGACAGCGAGCGCCGCGTGCTCGAGATCCTCCAGTGGCTCGCGTGCTCCGAGCGGCTCCACTCGTGGGCGGCGCTCGACCTCGACGGCCTCCGCGGCGCGTACCGGTCCGTCGCGCGCGCGGCCAAGGCGAACCCCACCTTCGGCGGCCGCTTCGTCGCCGCGCGGCGCCTCGACGACGCCGCCGAGACCGAGCTCGTGCGCCAACTCCTCGCCGACGAGCGCGGCTCCGCGGACGACGGCGTCGCGCTGCCGCCGCGGCCCCCGGCCCGCGCCGCGGCCGTCGGCCGCTGCGCGCAGCTCAAGCGGCCCGCGCCGCCGTCGCCGGGCCGGGGCCGGCCCGCGGTGGCGACGGTCGCCGTCGTCCGCGACGCCGCGCCGGGCTCGCCCGACGCCGACGCGCCGCGCAAGGAGCGGCCCCGGCCCATCGTCGTCCCCGCGCCGCGGCCCCAGGCGCCGAGCCCGGCGCTCGAGGGCGCGGAGAACGCCAACTCGGCGCCGCGGTCGCCCACGTCGGGCCGCGCGGGCCGCAAGCTCCTGCGCTGCCTCGACGAGAACACGCCCACGGAGCGCTCCCCCTTCTCGCGGCCCGCGAACAAGCACTTCCGCGCCGCCGCCGCCGACGCGGCCGCCGCGCCGCCGGACGCGCCGCTCCTCCCCCAGCTCTCGCCCTTCACCAAGGTCGCCGCCATATGAGGCGCGGCCGACACCCCGCTTGTACACGATACGCGCCGTCGCCACCACCCCATCGCCACCACCACACCGGCCGCCCCGAGCCACCGCGGACCGCGCCCGCTCCCGCACCCCTGTGCTGTTGTTTCCCACTAGAACATCATTCCACCCAGCCGACGGAGCGCGCGCGCGGGAAGGCAGGCGGAGCCTGCGACGCTCGTATCCCGGCGGCAGTTTTAGCATGAGTCTAGAGCTCCCGGCGGAAGTGTGAGGGCGCGCGCGCGTGGTGGGGAGCTGCGCCGTCCTCTCGCGCGGGGGGAACCGCTCGCATCGCGGCGCTGGGGGAGGCCGTCTTCTTGGCCGCCGCTTTCACCGGTCACGGGGCGGCCAGGCCCGTCTCTTTTGCTTAGGCCATCTCGCTCCCCGTCGGGGCTTCGACGCCGGCGCCCTTCTCCACGAGTGCAGGTGCCTTGAACGCAGCGCCGCACATGCCGATGCCCATGACGACGGCAGAGACGGCGACGAAGAACTCGAGACCGCATCCGGCCGTGCAAGGGTTGTTTTCCTCGACGAGCACATCATCATCGACGGTCAGTTTGTTCCTCCAGTAGCCCGCTCCCGCAAGACCAAAGATGCCCAAGACTCCCAGCAAACAGCCGCCTGCAATTTCGACGCCTTTGACGCGCTTCCCCGTGAACCCGAGAAAGAAATAGAAAGCGGCGAGGAAGAATAAGAACAAGGTCTGAAGAATCGTCGACGCGCGATTGACGTAAAAATAGGCATAGGTGTCGTCGTCGTCTCCAGCGCTGAAGTCGTCGTCGCCGTCGTCGTCGAAGACGTTGTCGTCGTCCGTCTGCGGAACGTCGTGATCGTCGTCAGTCTCCGATTTCATTTCAGGGAGGTGCATCTCCAAATGGTGGTTGGCCTTGTACAGCCCCACCGTGTACTCGGACTTGATCCCGTAACCCCCAAAACTAATGTCGTGTGAGACGTACGCCCAGTCGGGGAGGCCGGCGCTAATCGCGGCGAAGAGGCCAAGAGCCGCAAGGCAGGCGCCGATCGCGAGAGCCACCATGTTCGCCATGGCGCAGCGCAGCGCGAGGTCGGAAGATGGCTGGACGAGGCAGCGGCCGAGTCGCAGCGTCGGAAGCAGCCGAATGGTTGGAAGCCCGAGGGAAACCGGAGCTAGGCTAGGCAGGGTTAACAGCTAGAGGGCCTACCCGGGGGGTTTGCGGCACCAGGCATTGCTGCACTGGGACTCCAAGCCTAGCCGCGACCGCCACGGGCGGCCGGGCTGGCATCTAGCTCCGAGGGGCCAGGCGCGCGGGGGCTCACTCGCAGTCCGTGGACTCGCTTCGCGGCCCGCGCGGACGTGCCATACTCAGGACGGGTCCGGTTTTCCATCCAGCATTGGCGCCGGACACGGCCAGAACGCACGAGGTTTCTAGACACCGCGCCGACGCCGCCGTCAGGGTCAGAGAGCACCCACGCTCCCCCCGGCGCCCGCCTTTCACTTGAGCGGCCTTCTCGGTTCGCCGCCACCCAGAGGGGATCACCGCTTCAGGGGTCCGTACGCAGCCGGGACCTCACGGGTCCGCGACCTGGGACCGCCGTCTGACGGCATCGTGCTCTTGGGCAGGAGCTCGTTGACGATGCGGAACCGGATTGACACCGCCCCTTTGTCGACTACAGCCTTGTCCTTTGACACGAGGCTGGGAAGACGAGGCCACCGAGCAGGTCAACAAAAAACGTTTGACTCCAAGCCGCTTGGCGCGCCGGCGCAATGAGGGCTCCCATCGCGCTACAGTTGCTGGGCCTCTTGGCGGCTTACGCCGGCGCGGAGACGCACGCGACGCCCGCGACGCCCGCGACGCCCGCGACGTTCCTCCATCCGCTCATAGAAACCAACAACCGGTCGGCGCCGCTGCTCGTGCCGCTCGCGCGGCGCCCGGCGCCGTGGAACCGCACGAGCGCCCCGGAGCCGCGCGACTGGCTCGCGCAGCTCGTCCGGCAGACGCAGCAGCTCTACGCGCGGCGCGAGGCCTACGCCGCCGGCGTCGCCCGCTTCCTGCGGTCCGTGGTCGCCGCGTTCTTCCCGCGCGACGCGCCGCGCGGGGACGCGCGGCTCGCGGCCGCGGCGACGCGGGCGCTCGCGGCGCCGATTGCGCCGCCGTCCGACGCCGCCCCATCGCCGCCGGCGCCCAACGCCACGGAGAAGCCCTACGACGCCGCCGCGGCGCTCGACGCCTACGCGCGCGCGTGCGCGCGCTACGCGACGACGGCGAACGGCGCGGTGCTCGGCGCGCTCCGCTTCGGTTCCGCGTGCGTCAAGCCCAGCGACGAGTCGAGCGGCGGCGCGCCCTTCGCGGACGCGGATTTGTTAGCCGTCGTCGACGCGGTCTGCGACGCGTCGTCCGTCGTCCGCGCGCTCGACCTCGCGGGCGTCGACCGGAGCAGGAAAAGAGTGATTCAAGCTCTCTTCAATATAAGTGTTCCGCGCGCGCGCGTTCCGGAAAAAGCATCCACGCGTCGAGAGCGCTCCGAGAGATGATCGCTCGTCCAAAAATTAGCCGAAACGAGTGGAAAGCGACCGAGATATGAGCCTCCAAAGTTGGAAATTTCGCACTCTTTTCCTGCCCAGGCGTCGACGCGTCGCGGCTCACGCCGGGCTGCTGCGCGCGCGCGCTGGGCCACGCGCTCCACGCGGCGGGCGGCGGCAAAGGTTTGTCCTACCTCGCCGTCGTCGGCGCGCCCCTGGGCCCCGCGGGCGCGGACCGGCTCGCGAAGGCGTTCCGGCCGTCGCTCGCGGCGCTGAGGGTCGCGGGCTGCGGCATCGGCGACGAGGGCGCGGCGCGACTGCTCCACGCGCTGCGCAAGCCCGGCGCGCCGCGGCTCGAGCGGCTCGACGTCGGCGGCAACGGCCTGGGGCCCCAGGCCGTGCGGCGGTTCAAGCGGCTCGGCGCGCGCGCGGACGCGTGGCCGCCGTGGCGGCGGCGCGGCGCGGCGCCGAAGCTGAGGGTCGAGGCGCGGGGCAACTGCGTCGGCCTCGAGGTCGCCTGCGGGGTCCTGCACGCCGTGGGCCTCGGCGCGTTCCCCGTCTTCGGCTGGTTCCTCGTGTCCGAGGCGAAGCGGCTCGAGTTGGACGGGCCCTGCGTGACGGCGCTCGCCGTCTACGGCCTGGCCCACGCGGCCTACTTCGCCGCGTCCGTGGCGACGCACCTGCGCGAGGCGTCCTACGGCGCGGCTTTGGCGCGGCTCCACCGGGGCCGCGGGCCGCGGCCGCCGGGCGCGGCCGCCGCGCCGCCGCGGCGGCCCCGGCCGCCGCCGCGGTCCGCGCTCGACCGCTGCGGGCCCGCGCTGCTTCTCGTGGCGACGCACTACCCCTTCGCCGCCTTCCTCGACCTCGACCCGCGGGCCACCGCGCGCGTCCGCGCCGCGGGCCTCGCGGCGGCGGCGGCGGCGGCGCTCCACGCGAGCCGCCGCGCGGACCCGGACCCGCCCGTGCTCCGCGTGGGCAAGTACGTGCCCGTGGAGACCCTGGCGCTCCTCGCCGTGGGCTCCTACGCCGCCGCCGTCGCCGCGCTGCCCCTGCGGCGCGCGCTCGGCGACCGCGCGTTCAAGACCATCGCCGCGGGCGCGCTCGCGAACGTCGCCGCGGCCATCGTCCACGTCGCCGCGGGCTACGGCCACGTCGCCGCCCACGGCTTCTCCCTCCTCGGCGCCGCCCTCTACGCCCTCGTCGTCCTCAAGAGCCTCGTCTGGCACTTCCTCCCGGCGCCGCCGCCGCCGGACCCCCGGCCGTAAATCTGGGCTCGATCGATCTAGCGCGGGAGCTCGACGCAGCGCTGCGAGACGACACGCAGCCCGGCTGCGAGAACGACGCGGCCCGGCTGCGAGACGACGCAGCCCGAGACGACGCAGCCCGGCTGCGAGAACGACGCAGTCCGGCTGCTCGCACGAGCCATGGGCAGCGCCGCGTCGTCGTCGGAGGAGAAATACGCGCCGAGCGCGGACGAGGAGGCCGAACACGTGCCCGGCGGCGACGACGACTACGACGTGAGCGCCGCGGCGGCGGCGGCCTTCCTCAAGGCCATCCGACCCGTGGTCGACGAGCTGCCCGAGGATCAGCGCGACGGCGCCGAGGCGGCGCTCTGGGCGGCCGCGGGCCAGATCTACCACGACCGCGACGACGAGGTCGCCGCCCTCGACGCCGAGCTCCGCGAGGCGCGCGCGCGCGCCGTCGCGCTGCCCAACAAATTCGCCTGCGCGTCGGCATCGACGGCGACGGCGCGCGTCGTCCTCGTGTCGTCGCGCGTGCCGGACCAGGAGGACCTCGTCGCGGCGGTGAGGGACCAAGCGTGGGTGCTGCGCTACGAGTGGGAGACGGCGACCGCCGAGAGCCTCGCGGCGGCCGTCGCGGCGAAGATCGAGGCGCTCGGCGGCGCCGTGGACACGATCGCCCTCGTCAACCACGGTCCGCCGGAGGCGGGAGCCTGGGCCATAGCGAAGGCGCTCGAGATCCCCGTCGACGGCGCGCCGTTCGACGCCGGCGGCGCCGCCGCGCCGCTCCTCCGGGCCATCGCGGGGGCGAAGGGCCTGCGGCGCGTCGACCTCCTCGCGTGCGACATCGCCGCGACGCCCAACGGCGTCACACTCGTGGAGCAGTTGGAGAAAGCGCTCGGCGTCGACGTCGCGGCGAGCACGGACGTGACGGGCAATTTGCGCCACGGGGGCGACTGGACGCTCGAGACCGACGACGTCGACGCGGCGGAGACGTACTTCGACGCCGCGGCCCTCGTGCGCTGGGACGGCCTCCTTCGCGCGGGGCTCCGCAACGGCTTCTCCAAGTTCCTCCGGCGGCGGCGCGAGCGGGAGAAGCGCGGCCGCCGCGTCCGCGTCCGCCGCGGCCGGCCGACGGGGCGCTTCCACCACGAGAACCACGACCCGCCGAGCTGCGCGATCCAGTAACATTTCGCCGCCCACATATCCCGCCGGCGGGACATGTTGGACCGCGACGACGCGCGCGAGGCCGTGCCCGCGGTGCTCGTCGCCCGGCGCAACGAGGGCCAGGTCGCCTTCGGCCGCCAAACGGGCAGACTCGCGCGCCCAGACCCCCTGCGCCAACCCAGCGCCCCGGCCATGGGACAGGCCGGATGAACGCCTCAATGACGCCGTGGAGTCGTACTTAAGTAGTGGAGATTTGCGGCGCGGCGCCTAGGCGCCGAGCGCTTAACGCGATGTCCTGTGCCGAAACGGGCCAACTCCAGCCCCCAGACCCTGCCACCCCCCGCGCGACCCGCCACGCCCCCCCTCTGAGGGCGACAACCGTCGAAGAGAGGCCCGTCGAGCGCCTGAAATCGGCGAACCGAGCTCGATGCGTTTCGATGGTCTGTTCGTCGCGGCGCGTCCGTGCCGCCCCCTCCCCGCATGGCCGCCTCATGGCCTCGACCATCGTGAACGCCCGGCGGGGGAGGCGGTCCCGGCGCCGGGGGCCCGCGGTCGTCCGTCGCCGAAGAAAGTCGTATCGGATCGGCGAGGCGTCGGACCGTACGACCGCCCGCCCTTCCGCTCGACGACGAGGTCGCTCGCTCCGGAGACGACGTCCCGATCGCGTCGATTCCCCCGCAGATTCAACCATGCGCCTCATCCGCGCGATCGCCTTCGCCGCGGCGGCGGCGGCGGCGCGCGGCGCGCTGGACGCGCGAGACGCGTCGAACACGTCATGGTGGCGCCTCGCGCTGGCGGCGCCGGTGATCTCGCCCGACTTTACCCTCGTGTCGAAGCACGTCTGCGAGCGCGGATCGACGTTCGCACACAGCGAAATAAAAAACTACTTTCCGAGCGACTGCGGCGAACGCATCATGTCGTTCAAAAATTTTCAGGAAATATATACAAAGAAGCTCAATTGCGAACCCGCCGGCCTCGGCCACGTCGGACACTGCGTCGTCGAAATGATCGCCGACCGCCGCAGCCCGGGCCCGGGCGCGCGCTACTTCCAGCAGTACGTGGGCTACAGCGGCGTCTACCTGCGCGGCGTCGACGGCCTCGGCGACGGCTTCGCGCCGTCGCTCTACTGCCACGAACGAGATTGGCTCAACGCGCATCTTTTTGCTACTTCAAACTGCAGACGAAGACACAGCAAGCAAGATTGCACGGCAAATGCGACGTGCTCTTGGCAGGAAAAGAAGCACAGGTGCGGGGAGACTCGAAAAAAAGAAAAATTGGGTACGGAGGTGTTCCGGCTCTATCCCACGGGCGTCGCGCTGTTCCGAGACCACTTCGAGTGCTTCGTCGCGCCGCCGTTCGACGAGTGGTTCGGCTTCGACGCGCTCCCGCCGGCGGACGACCCCGCGCGGGGGAGGCGCGCGGTCGCCGAGGCCTACGCGGCCGTCGACCGCGACGCCTGGGTCGACTGCGGCGCGGCCGACGGCGAGCTCCGCGTCGTCGTCCACGCGCGCCTCGGCGACCTGATCCACACCCCCGGATGGAAGTCCCTCCGCGCGTCGACGGCGGCGGGCGCGCACCTGCGGAACGCGCTCCGCGTCGTCGCGGGGTTGCGAGCGCGGCTCCCGGAGCGCCGCGTCCGCGCGCTCATCCTGAGCGACTCGCCGGCGGAGACCGTCGCCGCGACCCTCGAGGGTTTGGACGTCGGGATACACGTCGGCGGCGCGCGGCGCGACGGCGCGTCGCACCTCGTCGACGGCCGCACGGTCGGCCTCGAAAACGACTTCGACGTGAGCTTCCACGGCGCGGGCCACCCGTTCGTCGCGCTCCACTGCATGGCGGCCGCGGACCTGCTCCTCTGGCCCGAGACGTGCGGGAACCCCTGGCCGGCCGTTCCGATCACAGGCCATCCGAAACCAGGCCATCGTCGCCTGAAACCAACTGCGACTATGAAGCGGTGCAGCCACATGGCCTTGTTCGCGCGCGAGCTGTCGCTGCGGGGCGTACCCCGCGGACTTCCGGTGAAGCCGCTCGACGCGACGGCCGTCGACGCCGGCGTCGAGGAGTTGCTGGGAAGCGGATTTCCCGCGGAGCCGCTCGACGCGACGGCCGTCGACGGAAACAGCGGGCGATCCGCACCGGCGCGTGCGCTCCCCCGACGACCTGGACAATCCACAAACCACCTCGAGCGCCTCGATGCCTGGCTCACGAACGCCTCCGCTCCTCCTCCCGCCCACTGGCGCGTGCGCTCCCCCGACGACCTGGACACTCGCACGGACCACGTACTCTCGCACAGCGGCTACAAGGACGTCTGGCTCTCGCGTCTGCGCGACGGCCGACGCGTCGTCGTCAAGACGCTCCACCACGAAGGCGCGTTCGAATTTGGCAACCGCGCGAGCGACATCGCCTACTTCGAGCTCCTGTTCCTCGAGGGCCTCCGGGGCGAGCCGGGCATTCCGAAGCTGTTCGGCGCGTACGAGACGCCGACGCACGTGGTGTGGGTGACGTCGAACGGCGGCGGCCCCGTGGCGACGGGGAGGGGAACGCTGAATCTCAGCGGCAAGAAGAGCGAGATCAAGTACTCCGAGGTCTACGACGCGCGGGCGCGTGACGCGCCCCTCGACCTCGCGCGGGCGTGGCTGCGGTGCTTTCGGAGCTTCGGCGAACGGGGCGGCTTCGTCTTGACGGATTTTAAGCCGGAGCAGTTCACGCTCGACGCGAACGGCGACATCTACCTCGTCGACGGCCCGGCGCCGAACTCCGGGCCGATCGCCGCGCACGCGCGCCGTCACTTCACGAAAAAGACGTGGCACCCGGAGCAGGCCGACAAACTGAAGAGGGCGCGGATCTATATCGAGGGCATCGGCATGGAGCGGCCCATAAAGACCTACTACCTCCAGCCGGGCGCCGCGCAGCCCTGCCCGAGCGACGACGCCGACGCGGGCGCGGCCGTCTGCGCGCTGCGCACGGACTCGGCGCACAACGGGTGCGGCAACCACGTCATACGGAAGGATTTGTCCAAGTGTGGCGAACGGTTGCTGAGCGGCCCGGAGGTGTCGGACTGCGTCGACGGCGCTTGCGCGCCCTTCGACTGGCGCGTCCACGTCTTCGACGCGGCCGCGCGGGAGTGGATCCTGCCGCACATCATCGCGGTCGCGGAAGACCGGGCCGCGGCCGCGCGGCTCGAGCGGCTCCTGCCGCGGATGATGAGCGAAGACCCGCGCGTCCGGCCGTCGTTCTCCGCGCTGCTCCGGGAGCTGGGAAAGTAGACAGTAGCTCGCCTGGCTCCTCGACTCGAGCCAGCCCCACCACGCCCCGGACGACGGCGCGCGGCCCGTCGAAACGTAAAAACCGAGGAATTACGCGCGGCCGCGGCCCCGGCCGCGCCCCCGGCCGCCGGAGCCGCGGCGCCCGCGGCCGATGACCATGGGCTTCAGGCCCGTGACGAGCTCGCCCTCGAGCGCGGCGAGCTGGGCGTTGGCCTTGAGCTTCTGCGCGGCGCTGCCCGTGGCCTCGGCGACCTTGACGGCCTTCTTCGCCTCGGCGAGCGCGGCCGCCTTCTTCGCGTCCGCGGCGTCGGCCTCGCCCCTGTCGGCCGCGGCGATGCACGGCTGGCACCGCTGCTTCGCCGGGCCCTTCTTGAGCTGGGGCTTCGTGAACGACGACTCGGGCAGCGCCCGCTCGCACGCCGAGCAGACCTGCGTCGCGGCGGCCGCGGCGGCCGCGGGCGCGGCGGGCGCGGCGGGCGCCGCCGCCGCCTTGGCCGCGGCGGCGTCGCGCTCGGCCTGGGCCGCCTTCTCGACGCAGGGCTTGCACTTGAGGCCGCCCTCGCCGCGGCGCTTCTTCTCCTGCATCTTCTTGCTGAACTCCGACGCCGTGAGGCGCTTGCGGTGGCAGACGGAGCAGTCGAAGTCGCCGGCCCAGTTGTTGACGGCGACGCCGGCGTGCGTCACCTTGTTGTCCTTCGTGTAGGCCGACATGGCGGCGCGGACGGTGGCGGTGGCGAGTCAGATCAATCGGTCGGCGCGGCGGCGGCGGCGGACGACGACAGATCAAGGACTGGGCTCATGCCGGCTCTTCAAGCGGCACCTTGAAGATATCGCATGTCTTCAGTGCACAGGAAAAACGACTGGGCAGCTCGAGGGTGCTCTCCGCGTCGTTCCAGCCCCGCAGCGCCGCGCCATGGCCGTGTCGGCGGAGCTGCCGCGGCCCGCCGTCGGCGGGATCGCCGACGACCCCATCTTCAAGTTCCGGGACACGCAGCGCATGGCCTACCTCGCCAAGCGGGAGCAGAGCGGCACGGGCCGCGCCGCCGTCGACCGCCGCTTCCGCTGGACGCCGGACAAGGTCGTCGCCGCGCTGCGCGAGCGGCTCCAGGGCAACTTCGCCGCGACGCGGCGCGCCTTCCGCGCCATCGACCGCGACTGCGCGGGCTCCTGCGACGCGGTACGGTTTCGCGGGATGCTCGCGGCGTTCAACGTCGTCGCGACGGACGCGGACTTCGCCACCCTCTGGGCGGCCTTCGACAAGGACGCGTCGGGCAACGTCGACTTCCGCAAGTTCCTCGCGCGCACGGGCTGCGCGGGCGACGGCGCGGCGCCCGCGGCGCCCGCGCTCACGTCGCTCGCGCTCGACGGGACCGCGCAGGAGCGCCACCGGTCCAGGCTGGCGCTCAAGGGCGCGCGCCTCGCGCGCGTGACGCCGGCGCAGATCCGCAGCCAGCTCGCCCACCGCCTCGCGGCGCCCGCGGCCGTCCGCGCGCTCCGGAAGCTCTTCGCCGCGGCCGATCCCGCGGCGAGCGGCGCGGTGTCGCCGGCCGCGTTCCGCGGCGCGCTGGCGAAGCTGAACCTGCAGCTCCACGACGACGACTTCGCCGCCTTTTTGGAGGACGTCCGGGCCGGCGCGTTCGGCGACGTGGACTACGGCGGCTTCCTCCGGGGCTTCGGGCCGGACGTCGCCGGCTACGGAAGCGACGCGTCGGACCCGTACCGCGCGCGGCTCGAGAAGTTCGCGTCGGGCGGCGGCGGCGCCTTCGACGCCGACTTCTGGCCGCGGCTCCTCGCCGACGGCCACATGGGCGCCTTCGTGCAGTCGGGGCTGAGCCGCCAGCACGAGGCCAAAAAGTCCGCCGCGTGCGCGCCCAAGGTGCCCCTCGTCGGCGCCGAGGAGGCCGCGCGCATGCTCCGGGCCAAGTACGCCACGGGGCCCCAGAAGGTGCGCCGCTGGTTCCGCGGCGCGAGCCGCGACGGGCCCGCGACGGGCCGCGCGGACGCCGTCGACAGGGCGACGTTCGCGCGCCTGCTCGCGCAGCTCATGATCTTCGTCGACGACGACGGCCTGGCGTCGCTCTTCGATGCCATGGCCAAGGACGCGGCGGGCGCCGCGCCCTTCGCCGCCTTCGACAAGGCCTTCGGCGGCGACGGCGACGCGAAGGATCCGACCGGCGTCGAGTGGGGCGTGTCGTCCATCCCGAAGAGGCGCGCCGTCGAGCTCGGCTACACGGCCGTCGACGACAAGATCGTCGCCGCCGCGGACAGGCCCCCGGGGGGGGCTTCCGCCGCCCCGCGGCCCGCGGCGTCGCCGCCGCCCTTCGCCGTCGACGCGCCCGACGCGCCGGACGCGGCGCCGCCCGCGCCCGCGGCGCCCCCGAGCTCGCCGGAGCCCCGGCGCCGGCCGCGGCCCAAGTCAGCATCGGCGCTGCGGCCGGCGCGGACCTTCGTCGAGCCGCGGCCCGCGTGGGGCGCGCCCGCGCCGAACCACGAGCCGCGGCCGTCGCTCGAGCGTCCCTACCACCCGGCGACGCCCAACTCGCCGCCGAAGCCCGCGCCGCCGCCGCCCCGGGCGCGGCCCAAGTCGGCGTCGGCGATCCGCGGCGGCCGGACCCTCGCGCGGAAGCGGTCGCCGAGCCCGCCGCGCGACGCGCCGCGGACGACGTCCGGCGCGATCGCCGCCGAGGTCACCGCGCGCATCGCGCTCCTCGCGGCCCAGAAGGCCGACGCGACGCCCGACTCCGTCGCCGCCGCCGTCGGCGCCGCGACCAAGGCCATCGCCGCCGACGAGGCGCGCGCCGCGACCGCGCCGCGCCGCGCGTCGCCGCCGCCCGTGCGCGCGGCGACCGCGAGCGGCAAATTCCGCCACTACGGCGACGGGCCCGTCCTCAGCAACGCCCAGGTCCTCAAGCACCAAAAGGCCAAGCTCCGCATCCAAATCCAGCTCAACAAGGGCAAGACGCCGAAGATCAGCCCGAGGCCCCTCTACAGCAAGCACCACACCGCGCAGCAGCGATGGTGGACGAACATCGGCCAGGAGCTCTGGCAGCCCAAGTGGCGCTAGGGGCGCCCAAGACCAAGAAGACCAAGCACAGACACCCGACCCGCCCCCCCCCGCCGCCCCCGCTTCTCGAGGCTGCTAAAGATCAATGCTGACTTCGTATCTTACGTTGCGCGCGTCGCAATATCTAGAGGCGCCCGGTCTCGATGGCCTCTCTCCAGATCGCTTCCAGACTGGTGGCCTCCCTTTTGAGGTTGGCCTTTGTCTGGTTATAGCTGTTCGCTTCTCTTGGGTCCAATTTTGACAGCTGAGCGACAACTTCGTACATCTTGAGCTCCTTCACCACGTCGAGAGTAATACTGGCGGCTCGAAGCTTCTGGACGTGCTTGTGGGCCCGGAACCAGTCGCCCACAGTCACCGAGGCCTGGAGATCTTCGAGCATCTTCGAGCAGGCGACCTTGGACACCGGCGGGCAGTGACAGACATCGGAGATGCTCGGCGGATAATCCCGACTCATCTCGTCGCACGGAGCGCCGATGCTCGCGGTGATGGGCTTCGGGTCGCCGGTCTCGAAGGCCGGCAGAAAGGCAGGCGTCCAGACCTTTGAGGAGCTCACTCCTGCCGATACGGTGTAGTAGACGTCCACCAGAACCACCGGCGTCGTCACCGCCGGCGAGACGTTCTCGGGTAGCGCGTCGACGTCGACGCCGTGCGCGATCTCGAGATAGACTCGAATCTTGCGGATGCGCTCCGCAGGTAGCGCTATGAGCGTCTCGCGTACCCGGCCCGGCAGCCGGCGGCAGTAGTCCTCGAAGGTAACGTCCGCGGGATCGACCGCGTATCCAGCGAACCCTGGAAAGAGATTTTCGCGACTCGTGAAGTGCGTGTGGTCAGGAACATTGTCATGGGTTTTTAAATAACCTTCTTTCGAGATGTCGATGGAGCACTTCATCTCCTTGCGCAGCCGATAGTCGGCGAAGAGCGGATCGTCTTCCTCTTCGGACTCGTCGTCGTCGTCGCTCCGATACGCCCATCGATTCGCGAAGCCATCCTCGTCATTGTCGTATCCGCTATCGGGATACTGTCCGTCCGGTTCTGACACGCGCCCGTAAAAATTGTACAGAACGTGCTTCGCGAGAGCCGGCACGGCGTGGCGCTCGACGTACCGGGTGAGGGCCTCGACATCCGGATTGCTCGTTTCCGAGAGCGCCACGTTCCGTAAAATGTCGGAACACTGAAGTGCGAGGGAGGCGGAAACGCCCTCCGACGTCCCCGGCGTACCACGCTGTCGCTTGGTCGGCTCCATCTTGTCGTGATCAGCTCGGGTCTTTGTCCACTCCGCTGGTCCGGGACTCGCCGAACCGGGACGGCCTCGCGGACGCTCGAGCCTGGGAGTCTCCTGGGAGCGGCACCCCTCACCCACCATCCCTACTACCCACCCCCTTACTCGTCCTCGAAGTCGTCGTCGCCGTAGTCGTCCGGCGGCTTCGCGTCGCCGGCCGGGGCGTAGGCGAACTTGTCGGACCGGCGCTTGTCGTCGAGGGCCATGAGCGACGACAGGATGCTCGGCGCGGAAACGCCGTCGTCGTCGACGACCTCCGCGCTCTCCTCCGGGTCGAAGTCGTCGTCGCCGTAGTCGTCGTCGTCGCGGCGCCGCGGCGCCGCGGGCGCGGGCGCGGGCGCCGCGCGCTTGCTCAGCCGGAGGAAGTCCGACGCGTTGACGCTCGCCTCCTCGGGCGTGAGGTAGGTGCGGCACGAATCCAAAAACGCCTTGAACTCGGGCGCGGGCACGGAGCCGCTCCGGTCCGCGTCGACCGCGGCCCAGAGCTGGCCGAGCTCGCCGTCGGAGATCGCGTCGCGGCCGACGCCGAGGCCCGGGTGGAGCGCGTCGCCGGGCGTCCGTCTCACGAGGGCGCGGAACTCGTCGAACTCGATGCGGCCGCTGCCGTCCTTGTCCGTCGCGAAGAAGAGCTTCGCCCAGGAGCCCTTGCACCGCCTCCCGACCGCGGCCTCGAGCATGTTCGCCACGAGCCGCAGCAGCCGCGGCGACGCGGCCTCGTCGGCGTGGGTCCCCGCGTCAAAATTCGAGTTCGTCGCGAGCCTGTCGGCGATGGGCGCCTTCGAGCCCGCGCGCGCGGGGGCCGCGGCCGCCTCGTCCGCGCGGAGCGCCTTCATGCGCTCGGCCTGCTTCGTCGTCCGCGGCGCGTCGATGGACGTCTTGACGATCTCCTGCTTCAGCTCCTCGGCGCCGCCCGACGCCGCCGTGAGCTTGCCGAGGAACGCCTTGAACTCGGGCGCGGTGACGAAGCCCGACCTGTCGCCGTCGAGCGTCGTCCACAGCATGCTCAGCTCGTCGTCGGAGACCTCCTTCCTGCCCATCTCCAGGCCCGGGAAGACCGTGTCCGTCGTCCGGTTCCGGATCAGGTCGCGGAACTCGCGGAACTCGACGCGGCCGCTGCCGTCGTTGTCGACGAAGAAGAAGAGCTTCGCCCACGAGCCGGCCGCGACGTCGCGGACCCGGGCCTCGAGCCGCCGCGCGACGGCGGCGAGGACCTCCGGCGACGCCTCGTCGTCGTGGTGCGCGCCGTCGTCAAAGTTCGAGTTCTTGTCGAGCTTGTCTTTGATGGGCGCCTTCCAGCCCGCGCGCGCGGGGCCGCCGTCGGCGGCCGCCTCCTTGGCCCGGAGCTCCTTCATGCGCTCGGCCTGCTTCGTCGTGCGCGGCGCGGACATGGACGTTCGCACGACCTCCGTCGGTTCCTCGCCGGGCGCGTGCTGCGCCATGACCTTCTGCATGAATCGCTTGAACTCGGGCGCGGTCACGAAGCCCGACTTGTCGCCGTCGAGGCACGTCCAAAGCATGCTCAGCTCGTCGTCGGAGACCTCCTTCTTGCTGATCTCGAGCCCGGGGTTCACCGTGTCCGTCGCCTTGTTTCTCATGAGGTCTCTAAATTCGTGGAACTCGACGCGCCCGGAGCCGTCGTTGTCGATGACGAAGAATAATTTGGCCCACGATCCCTTGGCGTGCTTCTGGAGCTTCGCGTCGAGCCGCGCGGCGATGGACTTGAGCAGCTCCGGCGACGCCTCGTCGTCGTGGTGCTCGCCATCGGCCATCTTGCTATTCCCATCCATGCGGTCCTTGATGGGCGCCTTCCAGCCCGCGCGCGTCGGCCCGTCGGTCGCGCTTGCCTGCTCCGCTCGCAGAGCTTTCATACGCTCGGCCTGCTTCGTCGTCCGCGGCGCGTTCATCGACGTCCGAGTGATGACCTGCTTCTCCTCCTCGCCCGAATGGTGCGTCTTGACCGTCTCCATGAATACCTTGAACTCGGGCGCGGTCACGAAGCCCGACTTGTCGCCATCAAGCGACGTCCAGAGCATGCTCAGCTCGTCGTCGGAGACCTCCTTCTTGCTGATTTCCAGTCCAGGATTCGACGTGTGCGTGGCCTTGTTTCTCATCAGGTCGCGGAACTCGTGGAACTCGACGCGCCCGGAGCCGTCGTTGTCGATCACGAAGAACAATTTGGCCCACGAGCCCTTCGCGTGCCGTTGCAATTTGGCATCGAGGCGCGCGGCGATGGACTTCAGGAGCTCCGGCGACGCCTCGTCGTCGTGGTGCTCGCCGTCGGTCATCTTGCTGTTGCCGTCCATCTTGTCTTTAATCGGGGCCTTCCAGCCCGCGCGCGTCGGCCCGTCCGTCGCGTTCGCCTCCTTGGCCCGGAGCTCCTTCATGCGTTCGGCCTGCTTCGTCGTCCGCGGCGCGTTCATGGACGTCCGCGTGATCGCCTTCTTCTCCTCAACGCCGGAGTGCTGCTCTTTCATCATCAGCATGAACTTCTTGAATTCGGGCGCCGTCACGAAGCCCGATTTGTCGTTGTCCAACGACGTCCACAGCATGCTGAGCTCCGTATCGCTCACCTCGCTCTTGCTAATCTCGAGGCCCGGGTTCGACGTGTGCGTCGCCTTGTTGCGCATGAGGTCGCGGAACTCGTGGAACTCGACGCGCCCGGAGCCGTCGTTGTCTATCACGAAGAACAATTTGGCCCAGGAGCCCTTGGCGTGCCGTTGCAACTTGGCATCGAGGCGCGCGGCGATGGACTTCAGGAGCTCGGGCGACGCCTCGTCGTCGTGGTGTTCGCCGTCGGCCATCTTGCTGTTGCCGGCCATCTTGTCCTTGATGGGCGCCTTCCAGCCCGCGCGCGTCGGACCGTCGGTCGCGTTCGCTTCCTCCGCTCGCAACGCCTTCATGCGCTCGGCTTGCTTCGTCGTCCGCGGCGCATTCATGGACGTTCTCGTGATGGCTTGCTTCTCCTCGACGCCGGAGTGCTGCTCTTTCATCATCAGCATGAATCGCTTGAACTCGGGCGCGGTCACGAAGCCGGACTTGTCCGCGTCGACGGTCGTCCAGAGCATGTTCAGCTCCTCGTCGGAGATCTCCTTCTTGCCGATCTCGAGGCCCGGGTTCGACGTGTGCGTCACCTTGTTTCGCATCAGATCGCGGAACTCGTGGAACTCGACGCGCCCGGAGCCGTCGTTGTCGATGACGAAGAAGAGCTTCGCCCAGGAGCCCTTGGCGTGCCGTTGCAATTTGGCATCGAGGCGCGCGGCGATGGATTTCAAGAGCTCGGGCGACGCCTCCTCGTCGTGGTGCTCGCCGTCGGCCATCTTGCTGTTGCCGGCCATCTTGTCCTTGATCGGCGCCTTCCAGCCCGCGCGCGCGGGGCCGTCGTCGGCGGCCGCCTCCTTGGCGCGCAGCTCTTTCATGCGCTCTGCCTGCTTCGTCGTCCGCGGGGCGTCCATGGACGTCTTCACGATCTCCTGCTTCTGCTCCTCGCCCGAGTACTGCGCCTTCATCATCAGCATAAACTTCTTGAACTCGGGCGCGGTCACGAAGCCCGACTTGTCGCCGTCGAGCGACGTCCAGAGCATGCTCAGTTCCTCGTCGGAAACCTCCTTCCTGCCGATCTCCAGGCCCGGGTTCGACGTGTGCGTCGCCTTGTTTCGCATGAGGTCGCGGAACTCGTGGAACTCGACGCGGCCCGAGCCGTCGTTGTCGACGACGAAGAACAATTTCGCCCAGGAGCCCTTGGCGTGCTTCTGGAGCTTGGCGTCGAGGCGCGCGGCGATGGACCGCAGGAGCTCCGGCGACGCGCCGCTCTCGTGGTGCGCGCCGTCCGCGAGCTTGTCGTTGCCCGCGAGCCTGTCGGCGATGGGCGCCTTCCAGCCCGCGCGCGTCGGACCGTCGGTCGCGTTCGCCTCCTCCGCTCGCAGCGCCTTCATGCGCTCGGCCTGCTTCGTCGTCCGCGGGGCGTCGAGCGCCGCCGGCGGCGGCTTCCGCGCCGCGCCGGAGACGTAGCCCCGGACCTCCTTCTCCGGCGACGGCGGGCTCGCGAAGAACTCGCGCGGCGGGTCCAGGAGCTGGGGCGCGGCGGGCCGCGCCGGCGCGCCGTGGCGCGGGCTCGGCGCGTTCCGCGGGCTCGACGCGTTGGACCGCGGCGTCGTCGCGTTGGACCCGCTGTGCTCGGAGGACGCCTGCTGGAAGTTGAGCCGGCCGAGCTTGTCCTGCTGCTCCTTGGACCGGCCCACAATGATGTTCTGCTCGTAGGCGATGGCGGCCTTGGCCGCGGGGTAGTCCGCGAGCGTCTTCGCGACGGCCATGCGGAGGAAGAGCGCGAACTCGTCCGCGTTGATGAGCCCGAGCTTGTCGTTGTCCGCGCGCGCCCACAACAACCGCATCTCCTCCAGCGAGATCGTCGCCGCGCCGAGCTCGAGGCCCGTGCCGGAGACGTTGCGCTTCGACCGCACGATGTTCCGAAACTCGGGCCACTCGATGCGGCCGCTCCGGTCGCGGTCGCACAGAATAAAAATCTTCGTCCAGGAGCAGTCCGGGATGCTCCGCATGGCCTTGTCGATGGCCGCCGCGACGCGGGCCAGCGTCTCGGCCTCGTCGGCGTCGACGGGCGCGTAGTCGCGCGCCTTCTCGCCGGCCGCGTCCCTCCGCGGCGGCGCGTCGCGCGCGTCGCCCTCGGCCGAGGACGGCGGCGCCGGCGCGGCGCTGTTCGGCCGGTCGTCGTCGAGGACGCGCTCGATGAAGCGCCGGAACTCGACCGCGTTGACGGACCCGGACCGGTCGCGGTCCGCGGACGTCCAGAGGCGCCGCAGGTCGTCGTCGCTCACGGACTGCTTGGAAATTTCCAGGCCCGGCGGGTGGGCGTACTGCTTGTTGCGCGCCATGGACACGAACTCGTGGAACTCCATGCTGCCCGAGGAGTTGAGGTCCATCATCGTGAAGAAGCGCATCCAGTTGCCCTGCGTGACGCGCTGCAGGCCGCGCTCGAGCTCGTCCGCGATGTGCTTGAGCAGCTCCGGCGTCGCGGCCTCGGCGTGGTTCTCGATGCCCTCGGCCTCGGGCGCCCGGTCCGCGGCGTGCGTCGCGAGCTTGTCGGCGATGGGCACGTAGTTCCGCGGCTCGTTGGCCAGCCGCGCCTCCTCGTCCTTCTTCTCCTGGCGGTACTGCTTGAGGCGCTCGACCTGGCCGTTGGCGCGGGGCGCCGGCGCCTTGCGCGCCTTCTTCGGCGGGCGGCTCGGCTGCGACGGTGGGCCCGGCGCGACGCCGTCGAAGTCCTCGGGCTTGGGCGGCCTCGGCACCGTCGCCGCGCGCGGCACGGAGAGCGTGTGGAGCCGCGAGAGCAGCTTCCAGCCGAGGCCGCTGTGGCGGCTCCCGCCCGCGGGCGCGGCGGCGGGCGCCGACTTGGTCGTCGCCGTCGCCCGCGACGCCTCGTCGGCCGGCGCGTCGCCGTCGGGGGCGTCGTCGCCGTCGTCGGCCTCGGGCGCGGGCGCGGGCGGCCGCGCGGGGATCTTCGGCAGCACGAACTTCACCGCGGCCTTGGCCCGGTTGCGCTCGGCCTCGCGCTTCGCCTTGAGCTCCTTCTTCAGCGACCGCTGGCGGTTGCGGCTCCGCGCCTCGCGCTTCCGCTCCGACTCGCCGATGCGGCCGAAGCGGAGGAGCTCCGCGACGAACTCCGTGCTGACGACGAAGCCGCCGCCCGTGGGCTCCGCGAGGTGCTCGTAGATGGCGCCGAGCTCGCGGGGCGACAGCTTCACGTTCAGGCCCCGCTTGAGGAAGCGGTCGACCTCGCTGTGGTTCATGCGGCCCTGCGTCCGGAGCCCGTTCAGCAACGTCGTCGTCGAGCTCGCGTCGCGGTGCTGCGCGAGCGACGCCGCGGCGCGCTGGAGCAGGTCCATGGCGCGCCGCCGGTCGCCGTCGTCGTAGTTGGCGTCGATGTCCGACGTCGGCGGCGCGAAGCGCGCCTCCTCGTCGTGGCGCCGGTCCTCCGCGCGGCGCCGCCGCCGGTCCTCGTCGTCGCGGCGCGCCTCGAACGCGCGCTCGCGCTCGCGGCGCCCGAGGTGCGCGAAGACCTTCATGAACTGGAGCCAGCTCACGGCGCCGTCGGCGTCGGCGGCGTCGAAGAGGTAGAGCACCGCGCCGAGCTCCTCGGGGCTCAACCGGATCTTGAACTCCTTCCGCAACCGCCCCGCGAACGTCGACGGGTCGAGGAGCGCGTCGCCGTCCATGGCCGTCGCGCCCTTGCGCGCCGCGGCCTCGCTGAGCTTGACCATGGCCGTCTGCATGGCCGGCACCTCCACGAGCTGCTCCGGGAGCACCTCGGGCCCGTCGCCGCCGCCGACGCGGAGCGACGCGCGCGAGCCGCCGCCCTCCTCGTAGAGGCGCCGCCGCGACGCCGCGGCCTCGGCGGCGCGCGCCGCCTGGTCCGCGTGTTCGTCGGGCGGCGCCACGGGCCGCCGGCCGCCGTGGCCGCGGCTCTTGGGGCCGGCGCGCCGCCGCGACCGCAGGGCCTTCACCGGCGGCTCCGCGTGTTCGTAGACGCTGAAGGCGCCCTTGCCGCCCTTGGCCATGGTCGCCGGCGATGGACCTAGCGCATGGAGCCGGCGCCGAGACGCGCGCGTCGCCGCGCGCCGCCGCCGCTGGAGGCGTCCGCCCTGGACCCCGCAGCAGCCCCTTCGCGGTTTCGCATAGAATCGTTGCCGGCAACGTGCCGAAGCTGCCCCGGGCTCTCGCGCAAGTCCACTACTCATGGTCGCACGCGCCGACGCGGCGCCGGCCCGTCCCGACCGCGACGCCCTCGACATGGCGGAGCCGCAGGACCTCGACGAACCGCAGGTCGTCGTCGGGCCCCAGGGCGCCGTCGAGCGCAACACGCGCTTCGACGGCTTCGACTACGGCACGGACAGCGACGAGGAGAAGGAGCGGGAGCGGGCGACGGCGCGCGCCTACGAGGAGAAGCTGACGCCCGAGGAGAAGAAGAAGTCGAACCAGGCCTTCTCCGCGGCCTTTAGCTCCCTGTTCAAGCACAAGTATCCGGACCTCGCGCCCGAGGGCGCCGTCGAAAACGCGCCGACGGAGCCCGAGGTCGACCTCTTCGAGGGCGGCGGCTGCGCCTGGTGCGGCGAGGCCTGCTGGGCGAAGAAGCAGTGCGGCCGCTGCCGGTCCGTCGTCTACTGCTCGCGCGCGTGCCAGAAGGACGCGTGGCGCGGCGGCCACAAGGCCGAGTGCGAGGACCGGCCCGAGGACTGCGGCCACTGCGGCCTGCCCATCCCGGCGAAGCTCAAGTGCGGCTTCTGCCGGCAGGTCTACTATTGCGGGTCCGAATGCCAGCGGACCGACTGGCGCAAGGGCCACCGGACCGCGTGCAGCCGCGAGTTCCGCGTCGAGCCGCCGAAACCGCCGCCGAAGCCGCGGGAGGCGCCCGCGGCGGAGGCCGAGGACGACGACGGGGGCTACGAGCAGGTGCGCCTGACGGCGGAGGCGCAGGAGGCGGCGGCCGCGGGCGACTGGGACCGGGCGGAGGCGTGCTTCCGCGGCGCGCTGGAGGCGACGGAGGACGCGTTCGGCCGCGACGACGACTCCGTCGCCGCGGCCCTGGCGAATTTGGGCACCTTCCTCGCGAAGCGGGGCCGCTACGACGACAGCGACCCCCTGCTGAAGCGGTCGATGAAGATCTACGAGGACGCGGCCGGCGGGCCCGAGGACGCGAACGCGTTGCTCGTCAAGTCCTGGATCGCCGACAACATGCGCATGCGCTACGACCTCGAGGCCGCGGAGAAGCTGTTCCGGGAGATCCTGCGGGACGCGCGGGAGGTCTACGGCGAGACCCACGCGGAGGTCGCCGTCGCGCTGAACAATCTCGCGGGCGTCCTCACGGAGCAGGGCACGCCCGAGTCGTGGCCCCAGGCGAAGAAGTACGGCGCCAAGGCCCTCGCCATCGCCAATGCGACCCTCGGCCCGGACCACCCGAAGACCGTCGCCTACCGGAAGTCGTGGGAGAACCCCTAATAGTCGTCTGGTCGTCGGTCGAGGCCGAGCTCCTTCGACAGCTTCGCGAAGCGGCCGCCCGCGGGCTCCGCGTAGACGGCCGCGAGCCGCGGCGGCGGCGGGTCGCAGGTCCGCGGGCCCGTGCCGAACTCCTTGCAGCGCGCCGCGTCGGACTTGCACTCGTAGGCGCAGGTCCGGTTCAGCGCCCGGTCCGTCGCGGCGTCGTTGAAGCACGCGTTGCCGCTCGAGAACGTCCAGGGCACGGCGAGCGCGCGGCCCGCGACGTACGTCGACACGAAGCGCGCGAAGTTCGACGCGCAGTCGCCTGTGCGCGTTTTTTGGCGTACGACCGTTTCCTCGCGGACGCGGGAGCCGCGCCCGCGTAGGCGACGGCGCATCTCGCGCTGAGGTCCAGGGAGAGCAGGATGCGCGCGAGCTCGTTCAGGCCCGTCGTGTGGATCTGCTTGTCCAGGTCGCCCTGGCCGAAGAGGCCGTCCGCGGACGAGACCATGCCCGTCGACGCCGGCAGCGGGAGCACGGTCGCGACGTCCGGGCGCTGCGGTGGGGCGTGTGCCGTCGCTATGACTCGGTGCCGCTCGGAGGATGCGAGAGCGGTGGCCTTAAGGGCGTCGGTACGAAGCGAGCGCGCCCGGACGGATAACCCGTCGCGGAGGGCGCGCGCGCCGCGCGCGGACGATTCCGCGAGATGGTTCGGACCGCGACGTGACCCGAGCCTCGGTAGAGCATCGCGCGACTCAGCAAGAGTCTCATCCCAATACATGGGGAAAGCGTCTACCGAGGGCTCAGCCAGCGACGCGGTCCCGGCCACCGTCGAAACGTTCCGCTCGTGCTCTTCCCCGGGTGTCTGGACGTGCGAAGCGTAGAAAAGATGATCTGGTGTGTCGCGCCTCGATCGCAATTTGCCCGGGGGTCGCGCGGACATAAAAAAAAGACGCCGGGCTCGCGCGACCTTGGCCGCGTCGTCGACCATGTCGCCGTCGTCGCTGAGGAGGTGGAGCACGGGCGGCGCGTCCGTGTCGAGGCGCAGGAGCGGGAGCACGTCGCGGAGCGCGTCCTCGAGGTCGACGAAGAAGGACGCCGCCGCGAAGCGCGCGCCCCGCGCCTCGAGGTTGACGCGCGCGTGGTGCCGGAGCTGCACGAGGCCGCACGCGTCGGGGCCGTCCTCGAAGGCCGACGCGTCGAACGCGCGCGTGAGTTTCCGGAGCCGGAAGCTCGGCCGGAAGAGCGTCGCCATGGCCAGCGCGCGCACGAGCGCCTGGTCGCCCGCGCCGCGCCGCGCGGACTCCGGGAGCGCGGCGACGGCGCCCCGGAACGCGTCGAAGCGGCCCGCGAAGGTGCTCGGCGTCGGCGGCGTGCCGAACTCGGCCGCGGCGCACCGCCTGTCGAGGCGCGGCGAGCAGCGGACCGGCTCGGCGCCCTTGAAGCCGTGGCGCATCTGCCGGTCCTCGTCCTTGTAGTACTCGCGGTCCTCGTCGCACGCCGTCATGGGCAGGAAGACGCAGGACCAGCGGTTGCCCGGGTCGAAGGGCGCGTCCCCGGATGTCCCGCCGCAGAGCGCGCCCGCGGAGCCGTCGGCCATGCCGTAGCCCCAGCCCTTCAACGACCGGGGCACGAGCGCGAGCCCGCGCTTCCACGCGTCGAGCAGCTCGTCGGCCCAGGCGTGGGCCACGGGGCCCAGCACCGACGGCGCGCTGTTCGCGATGAGGCCGGCGGTGACACACGTCGCCGGCGACCACTGCCGCGCGCGCCACTCCGCCGCGAACTTCTCCATGAGCGGGGCCAGCGGCGCGTCGACGCGCCGCGCGAGCGCGAGGCGGCCGCCGGTCCAGGGCTCGGACATCACGGCCCAGTCGGGCCGCGGCGCGAGGAAGCGGTCCACGGCCGCCGCGCCGCGATCCTCGTAGGAGAGCGCCGGAGGCCAGTCGACCTCGAGGAGCGTTTCGGCGTCGCGCGCCGCGAGGGCCTCGTCGAGCCGCTCCGGTCGCGCCGGGAGCTCGACGACGAGCGCGCTGGAGCCGAGGACGAGCGACAGGGCTCGCCAGCGTCTTGCGAGGGTCATCGTCCCCTCACGGTGGAGCTTCGCGCAGGATCCCCCATCGCAGTCGCGCTTCACCATGTCATGATGCCGCGCGGCGGTCGAGTCGCCAAGACGGCTTGAGACGACTTTCAAGAGACGGCAAGCCGACAAGACCTCGACGCGAGCGCGATGGACCAGGAGGACGAGCGAGGCGACATGAAGGACTGGCAGAGGAAGCAGCGGGAATTCGAGCAGGTCAAGGCCCGGGCGAAAGCGCTCAAGCTCCGGCTCACCTGCACGATCTGCGGGGCGCGACCGAAGACCTTGCTGAACTGCCCTTGCGGCACGACGCAATACTGTTCGACAGAATGCCAACGCATCGACTGGCGCGACAGGGGCCACCGGAAGGCGTGCAAGAAGATCCGAGACGAGCGCGCGGCGGAGGCGGCGCGGGCCGAGGCGCCGACGCCCCTGCCGTCGCCCCCGGTCTACGGCCCCGCGCCGCGGTCGCACGCCGACGAGGTCCGCGCGCGCATCGCCGCGGAGCACGAGGCCGCCCGGGCGCGACGCGAGGCGAACCCGGAGCCGGTGCCGACGTCGGAGCGGTTCGGCTCCTGTTGTCCGATTTGCCTCGAGGCCTGGGACGTGAATCGCAATTTGGGTGACACCGACCTTCGTTCCTGCTGCTGCCGGAGGATCTGCAGATCGTGCAGCATGAAAATTGGCCCCAATCCGTGTCCTCTCTGTAGGGCGCCGTACGCGAGAAGTCAAGCGGAGATTGTGGCGCGGATTCGTCGCAACGTGGAGAAAGGGTGCCGGAGGCGATCAACGACTTGGGCGTCGCCTACCTAAAAGGCGAGGAAGGTCTCGCTATAAATCTGCGGAAAGCCGCGAAGCTCTTCAAACGCGCCGTGGAGGCCGGCAATGTGGATGCGATGGTGAACCTTGGGCACATGTACATCAAAGCTGAGGGCGTCAAGCAGGACAAGGAGAAGGCGATGCAGCTGTTCCAGATGGCATCGGACCGGGGGGACGCGGTGGCGCAGAACAATATCGGCGCTCTACTCCTTCACGAAGATAAAAAGGCTGCGTTTCCCTTCTACCTGCTCGCCGCAAAACAGGGCATGACAATCGCTGAATTCAATGTCGCGTGTATGTATATGAACGGTAAGGGGGTTGACGAAGACCACCACGAAGCATTGCGATGGCTCAAGCGTGTGGCCGCCAAGCCCTCTCAGTTCCAAGAGAAAGCCAAAGAAGGAGTCAAGTACCTGACAACGGGTGAAATACCCGAGGAATATTATCGTTAGATAAACAACCTTAGTCTCCCCGCTACCTCCCGTGGACGATATTAGTGCACCGCGGCGAACGACGCCGGGAGCCAGTCCGGCGGCGGCCGGGGCGCGCGGCGCTCGTCGTCCGGCGCGAGGAGCCAGACGCACTGCCAGTTGCGGAAGGCGGCGATGAGCTGGCAGTGGGCCCAGAGCTTGGCGAGGAGCGCGCCGCGGTCCCGCGGCGGCGCGCCCGCGAGCGGCGGCCGGGCCTTCCGGGGCCGCCGGAGCCTCCGGAGCGCGAGGGCCAACAGCCGCACGCGCTTCTTCGCGAGGGCCGGCAGGAGCCGCAGGGCCCGCGTGAGCACCGTCGCGCGCGCCGCGAGGTCGCGGACCTTGCGCGTCTCGCGCGCGTCGTCCGCCGCGCGGAGCGCGGCCGCGTGGCGGCCCTCGAGGGCCGCGGCGAGGTCGTCGCGGTCGCGCGCGTGCTCCTCGTCGCGCGCGACCAAGGCGTCGTCGAGCTGGCGCTGGAAGTCGTCCTCCATGGCCTGGGCCAGCGCCTCGCGCGCCGCGTCCTCGGCGACGGCGACCCGCCGCCGCGCCTCGCCCTCCCAGGCGCGGCGCGCGCGCGCGACGGCGGCCTCGGCCGTCGCGCCGGCGTCGTCGAGGGCCGCGTCGCGCCGCGCGCAGGCCTCCTCGACGGCCGCGGCCGCGACGCGCCGCGCCTCGGCGAGCGCGGCCGCGTGGGCGCGCGCGGCGGCGCGCGCGGCGTCCGCGCCCGTCGCCGCGGCGGCGGCGCGCGCCGCCGCCGCGGCGGCGGCGGCGGCGTCGTCGCGGGCCGTCGCCGAGGCCGTCGCGGCGGCCGCGCGGTCCGCGGCGGCGGCGGCGGCCGCGAGCGTCGCGGCGCCGCGGCGCCAGGCGGCAAAGGCGCCGCTCCGCGACATGCGCGCCGCGCGGCTCGCGGCGGACCGAA